AATTTCCTTTTCCTTTTATTCTTCATTATTTTCTTTATTATTTGCTTTCTCGATTTCTAAAATATTCAAAATTTACTTTTCATGTTTTCTCTATTGATTTTAAAAGGTTTGTCTCAGTTTTACATAGATTTAAGCCAGCCTTGCAGACGATCTGTGATGAATAGGGGCTGATATCTTCATAAATCGTAATTAGATAGAACCCACATCTTTACTTGTATTCTTAAATAATACGTTTGGATACATAACAAAATGGTATAGACCTTGAGTTGATTTCCATCTCAATTTTGCATGTAAACAAGAAAGAGGGACAGGAAGGCACAAAATGGATCGGAAAAGGAGAATTTTTATTTTTTTTACTCGTTAAGAAACTTAGCTTGGGAGTTCTATAAAAATTCAAAATAGTAATAGGGAAATATCTTTTAGAATCTCATATTAATAACTCTATAGGATAAAAAATAAGTTTTGGATGCCCCAGCACCTAGATTTGATTGTCTAGAAAATGGACTGTAGGTCGCTAGATTGGATTTATTATATATACAAATTTTGAGGTCCAAAACCATACTCTTGTGTAGATTTTTCTCGTAAGGATGGCGTAACATTTTAAACCTTATATTATTGAAGTAAGGTACACCTCAAAACTGTGTCGAAAATGTAGTTTTGCACCCGCAAAGTCTTGTGATGATATAAAAATATATTATTGACCCCAATTACGAAATTTAAAGTTCCAAAAATTCCCGATGATCAAGCATATCTATATATACTTGGAAATCTTGAAAATGGGATCTATCTAATGGGTGCACTTTGTGCAAAGCCAAGGCTCTAAACAGTCAAAGCTAAGCACACCTTCAAATAGTGTCGAGAAATATGGTTTCAATACTGGAAATCTTTGTGATAGCTTTAAAATATATTTTCATCTTTAGATATAAAATTTAAAGCTTCAAAAATAGTGTAGATAGAGTAGACCTATGAAAATTTGAAAATCTTGAGAATTGACAGTCCAAAAACTACGTTACAAGATGCACTATTTCCAAAACTTGAAATCCATTTTTTTCTCATGTCCATGCATCTTGAGGTCGAGATGATCAATTTGAGGACATTTGGACATCAAAACAACATCTTCTGGTGAAATGTTTGATGTAGGCTCTAATTTGATTGTTTAAAGCCTCGGCTCTATATAAACTTTTTCCCTATCTAATTGATCTACTGGGCCACTGACCAGTGGTTCTTTTCTATTAGCTTGTTTAGGGCCGGTAGTCTACACACCACAACGAGTCATCATGCTTCTTTAGAGACAAGATCAGTACATAATACGATGACTGGATCATCCCCACATCTATTAGCTCATCCAACTGTGAAGTGGGCATGCAGTGATTGATGCACATCCTGGGGAGCTCTAAGGGCATAACTTCCATGTATTCCTTGAGAGTCCCTCAATTGTGGTTGGCACCAACAAGTCATTCTCTACCTCCTCGGTCACTTAGACTGCCAATTAAGTGACCTCTCCATGTTGCAGGTCTGCCATCAGCTACAATACTTGGCTCTGTCAAATGGAGGCCCTGTCTCATTATCAATGCATGCCCTCCACCTGAGCTTTGCATCCATAATGGGGTACATAGTGGTCTGGGTCACTCAATATTCTTCTCATGCATAAAGAGCTTTGAAGAACTACTCCATATCTTAAAGGAAGTTATCTAACTCCTTAGTAATCCTTGTTTCTTCAGATAACTTGGACTCGTATGCATGAATTATTGGTGGTTTACGCACATTAGGCAAGTTGCTTAGTCCTCAGTTAGTGCCTTGGTGTTCTCCTTGAACTGAACATGTCAGTAAGAATGGTAACATCAGTCTCAAGGTTCCCCATCCCATGCAGGTTTCCTAAGCACTAACTCATTCTGAATGTCTTGCACCAATCCATATGGCCTTGTGTTGAGAGCCTTAGCATCCTATTCGATAGCGGCAACATGAGTAGCCAACCAATGAAGATGGTCTATTTACTCCTCGACCTGAGCCACATGTTCAATAATAGTAGTACTAGTTATCCGTTTGGAAATTGGAGAGCCCTCGCTCTGATAACCACTGTCATGGGGACATTTTTGCTAGCCTAACCATTAAGTCTTGGCTCCTAAGTCTAGTTGCTTAGGAGACCAAGTTCAGCAACACACAAACCAAGGGACAATAAAGGGGTCAAGGGCCATAGCACATTTATATTGCACTATAAACTTATAAGCACACTGAACCAAATGCCTCCCAAGGATCTGGGTATGGGGCTTATGGACTCTGGTTCCCATGGTAGTCAGCCTTTACTATTGCACTGCTTGCCTAGCCTAATATTACACCTATTTGTCGGCCTATGACCATCACAGAGCCAACTCTCCAGCCCACTCATGGTCTCTAGTCGCCAGTTTATTTGAATTTGAACGGGAATGTCACAGTCAAGCCGCCTATTTAACTCCAACTCATCCAATGCCACATCTAGCCCACTATCCTACTTACGTGCATGTGGTGGTCGAGCTTAAGTCGCTCGTATCCCATGCCCCACCTGCCTCGCCTTCCACAATTTTGTCCAAGGTTGGAGGTCTTGCCTCTTAGAGGTTTGTTGGTGTTAGAAAAATTAACTGTCACGCGAGATAGTTCATCATCATCAAAGCTTTTTTCCAACTAATTGGGGTGGGCTGCAACATGAAATAACTAAATCGTTTAGAAGACCACAAACCAATCAAGACCTACCTATCTTTTCAGATTTCTGTGAGGACCACCAAGGAAGGTTTCGACATCAAGCCATTGACCAATGCACGTACTTAACTTGAGTTTCCGACATGACCAATGCACGTACTTAACTTGAGTCTGATGCTAAGCATGGAAGAAGTCAATTACGCCACTTCATCAAGACTGATAATGAGAGTTGTGACCACAAATATGGTGGAAATGGTCGAACACTAGGAAATCAATGGGTGTATTTGGAATTAAATAAAATAATTAAATAAAATAGAAAAGTAAACAAAAGGAACTAGAAGTTGAGACTCTCTGTCAGATTTCATGGTAATAAGTAATTATGAGCTCCCTATCTTAAAGGTAAATAGCCTCATTGTATACAACCCCTTAAAAAGAATCGATGAAAATATTGCACAAATTTTATAAGAAAAAGGATCCTCCACACAAAAACAACTCATGAACACTTGGTAAGTAGTAAAATGTGCAAATTCAATATAAAAAAAAGAAAAAGAAAACTGATACAAAGATAAATACTAAGTACAACAAGGCTAACTAATAGACCTTGAGATATCCCTTGATAAACATGAACCCTAAAGATTATGAGAAAAATGGTAATCTAAAGCTGTAGGTTAAAAGTCCAAAATGTGATACCCAAAATAATGAACATTGTGAAATAGTGAAAAGAAATCTTTTAATAATAAGCATAAAACTGGAAATGAAACATACTTAAGACATCCTAAATAAAAATCCCAATAAGAAAGGAAAAGTAAATAAAATGAGAAGAAAGTTAAATAAAAAAAGGAAGAATGAAACTCATAAAATTTATTAAAAATAATTTAAAAAAAAAAACATGAAGAGAGAGAGATCCCGACCAAAAACAAGCTCCTAAAAATAATGCTGGGAAAAAACTTAAATAACTAAACCCCAAGAGGAGATGAGGATGCACAATAATTTAAAAGATAAAATAGAAAAAGGTAAAACAGATTAATAGATGAAAACAAAAAATTACATTAAAGAAAGGACGAATAAGAGAGATAGAGAGAGAGAGAAATACAAAGAAAAATTGGGAAATAATAAATGGTAAAACAAGTAAAGCCTCATCTCATAACTCATCGAAAATTGCAATTCAAGCATTAGAAAATCTTTACATCAATCATCTTGGTTTGAACATTATGGTTGTGAAAAATAAAAAAGATTTCAAGCTCTAAATATAACATATATTGTAACAAATTATCTAGATCATCCATATCATCCTAAAAATATGTGTCCATAGATCTGTACCATTTTTTTAGTTTCAAATTTTATTGTTTGGTGTTGAAAATTGATTTTAGAGCCACGATGGAGATTTCCATTGCCGAAAGTACTTTCTAGTGGATGAGAAATTGAAGTTAGGGATTATTTTGTTTTAATAAAGTCTAGGCTTTTTGAAAACCTTATCCATAATAAACAGGTGAAAAGTAAAAGAAAAAGCAAAACACGTAAAAAAAAAAAATGAAAATTAAGTCCAAAACTTAGAAAGAATGAAAACACCAAAGTGAACCACACAAGATGAAAAGAAGAGGAGGGAAGAGCAAAGACATTAGTAAACGCTTAATCAAAAGAAAATAAAGGTAAAGTGAAGGGATCAAAGAGTAGGTAATGGGAAAACTATGGGCCCTGGTCAGGTGGGTGCCACCACCACCATACCAATGATGCCAGATGGCACCCAGTTCAACATTCCCCAAAAAAGCATATCACATGGTCGCACATAGAGTTGTCAAATCTAATGCATGTCAAAAATATCAATTTGCTCATTTTAAAATTGATTTTTCCAAATACTATATATTTATACATTATTTTAAAACAAAATATATGATTTTAAGTAGTGAGATTTTAAGAAATTTTTTTGAAAACAAGTGTCTATGTTACAAAAGGTATCAAAGTGTTTTGTCTTCAGTGTGTCCATCCATATACACAAAAATATTAGAAACACGCGTGTCTATGTTTTCATGAAGGGCCCTAGTATAGTATCCCTGGTGACAGGGGTGGCAACGGGTCTGGTTGGTCCGGGACACAGCCGACTAGGTTTTTTATGGACCTGGATCCGGTTGCATCCAAGTCTTTTGGACCCAGATCCGGGATTCAATTTTTTTAAAAAATATTATTTTATATATGTATAGTATGTATTTTGTATGTTTTATTCAGGGTCAGATCCTAGCCATTTGAACCCGGACCCGACCCGCCAGATCCAAAACATAGAACCGGACCTGGATCTGGTGAGATATCCAAAAAGGAAAGGGGATACCCAGTTTCCAAATATCGTGGCACCATATTTGTAATTGACAAAGGCAATGCATTACAAACCCGGATGCATTGTTTAATACTAGATACACATTTCAACTGCACAGGGCAAAGTGAAAAAAAACATGGAAAAAAAAATCAGTACTAACTCCATGGAATCAATCTTGGGTGCGAACTTCCAAACATGCAAGGCTCCACAACCCGCTTGGATCTGAGCAGTTTGAGCAGGACCCTCGCCTTAGTTTTTGCCCTACTGTTGCACTGGCTCTGCAAAAGAAGCAAGAGCTGTGTTAGAATCCCTTCGTTAATGGCTACCTCTTGTGCACTCAAGGACTCTTCACATATGACCAGAAGACACCCAATTGCATTCTCACTCCCTTCGTGATCCGAGACCCTGAAAACCAACTTCACGAGAACCCGAATCGCCAGAGGATTTTCTCTCAAAACCTTCTTCCCACTCTCAATTCTAGAGAGGTGTTCGATTGCGGCCAAAGCTAGGGACACATTGCTCTTATCGGCTTGCATCACGCATTCTACTAAACTATCAATTATGCCAGCTTCGATGGTGATTTCAACAGTTGTAAGAGAGAGAGCAAGGCTAGAGAGGGCCCTAATTCCAGCATTGAGTGCACCCACATGATGGCTGTGTTGCATAACGCTGATTAGACCCTGCAATATGACTTGGTTTTGCCCAATTTCATAACAAAGCTCTTTGAGGTCATGAGATGAAGATATGGCGACCATTAGTTGGCATATGCTAATTTTGATCTTCATGGTGCCACCCTTTAACAAAACAAGCAAAGCATTCATGGCAGAGGCTTCTCTTAGTAAAAGTAGAGGACCCAATTGACTGTTCGGTAAGAGGTTCAGGACGGCATCAAGTGCTTCCTCTGCAATGCATGAGTTTTCTATAGAGAGAAAGTACTTCATGGAATGATCTGTAAACATGATTTTAAGGAGCAAAGGGAGGTACCCCATTTGAACCATGGAGACCCTGTTTTCATCTGATTCAGCAGATAAAGATCTGATCTTTTGCATCAATTCCAGCGTCGGAGGCTGTTGAGATTCGAGGATTTGTTTCAGTGATTCCAACGAACTGTCACGAGCAATTGAACCCGGGTTCTTGAGTTCACAAAGAAGCCATCGATCAATAAGTTGGCGAAGCGTATGGTTGGGGATCATGGAGAAGTCATGGAGTTTCTGCATTGTTACAGGGCAAGTCTGGTTTCCATAAGAGAGCCATTTCTCAATGCTTGCTCTGTCATAGGTTTGGCCTGTGCTTAAGATGACTGGATCAGTGAGAAGGTCAAGACTAATTGGGCACCTGAACAGATGGGGGATACTCATTTACACATGAGAGAAACAAGAGCTGGAAGATGGGTTGATCTCACAAAATGTGAAAGAGAAAGTGGGCTTTGCTACAGTCTTACAGTAACCACTGAAGGGAGAGATAGTTAGGGGAAAGAGTATCTGCTTTATTTGAGGTAGAATCAAGGAGAAAAGAGAGAGAGAGAGAGAGAAATTGGATTGGAGAATGGAGATCTTATCAGGGAAAGTGGGCTGACAGAGGGTAACAGAAATTGGAAACAATTGAGAAGTGTTTCTCTTTTCAGCCAGTGTGACCCACTTGAACTCCTAGAGAAGACTACAATAATGCTACAAGAGCACTACAACAAAACAATTAAAGAGCAAGAGAGAGACCTTAGGACTACAATATTATTACAGCCAACCAGATAGGTACAATAAAACTTGGCAACTAAGAGAGAGAGACCTTAAGGACTACAATAAATCAGCTTTGAAAAAATTTTGTATGATTGAGTTTGTTTGTTTTGTTACTCGATCATGTCTATTCCAATCTGCGAGCTGCTGAATTTATTGGCTCTTCCAAGTGTCATTTTGTTTTTCTCGGATGTCTTGACTGTATTTATGTCTTCGGTGAAGACCTAAAATTTATATATTCCTGAGGCTTGCTGATCCATTGCTGCTTTCTGTGCTTGTTGATCAAGCAATTTGAGCATGACAACTACTGCTTCTACCAGTCACACTATGCACCTGAAGATCCAACTGATCGTTTCCACAATTAGTGTTCAAACTCCAGCTACTCTCTCTCCCATAACATCTTGAGTTTGAGGTAGCGGAGATGAGAATGTTGAAATAGATGAGTGACAAGATAAGAATGGATAGAATTTGAAATGAATCTATTCGAGAAAATTTAGGCGGCACCAATAGACAGTAAAATGAAAGGGAGTAGACTTAGGTGGGCTGATAATTCATAGTGCCGACAAGTACAACACCTATTAGAACGTGCGATTTAGTTCAAGTGAAAAGATTGAAAAAGTCTAAACCCAAAAAGATACGGTTGAAAGTAATCTGAAAAGCTATAGAGAAAGAGAGAGAGTGACCTTAAGGACTACAATAAATAAGAGAACGACAGAGTTGCCTTGAGGACTACAATAAATGAGAGAGAGAGGGTGACCTTAAGGACTACAATAAATCCATGGCCATTACGAGCAGTACCATAAAATATGGAGAGAAAAGGGGACATAAAGAAGGCGGGCAGTTACGTCTTTGGGGCAGGCCTTCACAAGAAGAGGGGTGTCAAGTTAAATGGCAAACTGTTTCTGTTCAAAGAAAACAAAAAATCCAATAATTCAATGGTCAAAGGTTCCCAAAAATACTTTTGTGTGTGGTCACATGAATATATTGCTGGTGGTAAGGAATATCTGTACATATTCGGAATATGAGTGTTTGGTTAATTCGG